AGGGAAAGTGCGTGTGAGTAGGTGGAGGGACCTCATCTGCATCCATATTTCCTTAAAGCCTCTCTTGACTACCATCAAGTCCTGCTGACCCCTTCTACTAACAGCAAACTGAGCGCTGCTGTAATTGTGTTGCAAGCTTGGATTTTTCATACATTGAGAGCTGCTGAGCTGGCTTTGATCAGCGTTTTGCAAGGAGAGAGAGGTGTTGGAGGGAGATGTAGCTGGGTTGCATTTAAGTCACCAACTCACAGAGCTGCTCTGCTTAATCAACAGTGTGTTACTTGGTATTTAACCTGCTGCAGCTGATCCTTGTCTCTGCTTCCCAATAAAAACTGGTGAGCTAACCTTAATCCACAGACCTTCTATGTGTTTCCTTAGTGTATTTATTTGGAAGAAGTTTTGCAGCTTGGGTGGCTTTTGCCTCTGCAGCTGCTGCATGAACTGACCCTTGGAAGTGGAATTGTCAGTCCAAGCCAGTGAATGACTTTCTCTGTGTTGTTTGAATTGCTAATAAAATATACAGTATGCAAGAGATTGGCAAGGCTTAAAGGACAACGTGCTTCGGATTGCTGGAGGCTGTGATGGTGAATTGGGTGTGAAATGTAGTTCCAATATAATTGGAGAACAATTAATTCAGGTTTGGTTTTGTTTGCTTGTTTTTATCATTTCAGCAAGTGGCTCGATGGATTCGTGCCTGATGATATGGAGTATGAGACCTCAGATGAGAGCCTATCGCTTTGTGGGCCACAAAGACGCAGTGATGTGTGTTCAGTTTTCACCTTCTGGTCACCTGGTGGCTTCAGGCTCTAGAGACAAAACAGTGCGGTTATGGGTCCCCAGTGTGTAAGTGTCTGTTCCCTTCTGTCTCTCTTTGTGTTTTAACTATGGCTTGGGATTTCTTCTTGGTTTTTTTTAGTGATTCCCCAGCTATGAGGATCTAATAGGGATCTATTTGAAGGAAAGAACCACCATTTTATGTGGCAGTTCTGACAGAGGAGAGGTAATTTGGTCTTGAAATTGCATTGGAAACAAAACTCAAATCCTTGGCAAAGCTTAATGCCAGTGGTAACTTCCTATGCTAATATAAGAAGTCACTAATGTAACTAATCAGTGGTGAGTTGTTTGATTTTTCTTCCCCTTCCTCCCCCAGTCTCTTTTCTCCTAGCAAATCAATCCTTGGCTTCTCTGCCAGTGTTAAACAGGATGCTGAGACACAAGTTGGGGTTTAGTGATGGAGAGAGCTGTTTGTGAGCAGGGTGGAGGTTACTAGCTTGCATGTTTGTGTAGCACACAACTTTTAGGTGGCTTTAATCTTTATTTGGTCTAAAACTAGTAACTCTGTGCTCCACTGATAGTAAATTATGGTGCACTACTAAGATAAAAGATTGTTCTGGATTGTGTATTCATTTTCTTGTGAGCTTGCATATGAGTTAACAAGAATTTACTTACCCTTTAAGTGCCATAGCCATCTTAATGCATAATGATGAAGCTTCCGTTTTTGAGTAGAGGGTTTAGTGGCCTTAACTCATTAACACTTGTAAAGTCCCTGTCAACCATTGGCTAAGAGACCTCGTAACTTCTGTTGTTTCACTCGGTGGTGCATTGTTTTACCTGATACGCCTTTAGCAAGGAGCGCTTAATGGAAATACAACACAAACAGGAGTGCTGCAGAACTTCTGCCTGAAGGCTTAATCTAAGTGATGAGAAGGTTTTGCAGCCGTGATGCAGAAAAGCAGCTGCCGGTGTTTCTTCTGGTCTCTTGGCTCCCACTCGAAAACGTGGGGTTGTTTTTTCTGAATGGACAGGCATATGAAAAGGTATTGGAGGTTCCTTCGCTTTGCTGCTATCGAAGACTAAAGGATGTGTCCAGAAGCAGACCTGATGATTGTGGTGGCAAATAAAAAGAATTTTAAAACAAACAAACGAACCAAATAAAACCACACAAAAACATCCCCCAACTTAGAAATAAACACGTTGCTTCAGGAACCTGGGAAAGCATTTCTAGTTCTTTATTTCTGATGAGTTATTCTAGTTATAATTACCCACTGGAAACGTTATTTGATGATCTATTAAACTGTAAGTAATCACTGCCATAGAACTGATAGGTTCTGGAAGTGACTCTTTAAAATCTGTGATAAAAGTGCTTTCAAATATCTCCAGTTATAGTGAAATAGAACTAAAATTTGCACATTGTAATTTCAATTATAATTATTTCAGTTTAACTAAACTTTCCTGGAGAAAATAATCACAATGACATGTTAGCATGTATATTGTTAAAAGGCATGAGGTAGATTATAATTAGAATTTAACCATGCTGCTCATCAGTTTCCTGTAAAGAGAATAAACGTCATGTAGCTGTCTGCAGAGCTGTGCTGCTAGCACAGAATGCTGAAAACAAATTACAGTGCACACTTGTTAGATTTCTCAGGAGCTAACCTAGAAACTCTAAGGAAGGACTGAGGTGTGATGGGCAAACTGAACTTAAATGATGCATTGAGTGATTCTGTCTTGGTTGCTTAGTGGTCTAAGCTGTACCTGGGATTGTCATATCAGAAGAGGGCTGGTGTGGAAAAAGAGTTGTTATTGTCATGCCAGTTGTGGATATCTTGACGCATGGCTCTTTTAATCTGTTTATTTAGTATTCTTTGTCAATTTACCTTCTCTAGATAGAATAACACAGAAAAAGCATTGAGATTTAATCAGGTTTGAGACCTTCAGTTCGTCAGTTCTGCACGGTCATTAAAAGGGAAGGGAGAAGCTGCCCCGTAGTCTGTGGGCCAGGACTTCATTTCCAAGGAATCTGAAAACTTGCAGTCCCTTTCAGGGGTGATGTTACAGAAGGAGTTAATGCTACCCTGGCATGTGGTTTTCTGTCCTTAAGATTTGTTTTTTGTAAGCCATTCTGACAGAATTTTGTAATTTCATGTTTCTGCATGAATTTTTATGGGACTTGGGGATATTCTGTAGTTTTGGACAGGAAAAAATACCAAACAACTTTTCCTGATAAGTAACCTTTGCTGTTCCTTGCCTTCTGGCAGATAAAGAATTAAACAAAACTAGGCAGGTCTGACCTTTTCTGAGGAGGGAGGGAATATTCCTGGAAGGTACGTAGTATTTTGACTTTTTTGGCCTTTACAGTTTTAGTCGTCCTCAGCCTCAGTAGAAAGCCTGTGAAATCCTAATGGAGAGGGGAGCAAAGCACTGTGTCTTTCTGTTCTCATCTGTCTGTGAATGTGAAGGTCCTGGTAGTACAGTACGTGCTGGAGATGAATTTTGGACCAAGAGTCCCATGTACCTGGTGGATCCCTAAATATGTTGTGCCTTGCATTTATTTGGAAGTGATGGCTAAAGAACAATCACAATACCTTGTCTTTTGTCTTGCCTGGCTGAGTTAGTGTACCTTGCTCAAAGTGGTACATCAGGTATGCTGAATTCAGTTGTGTTATTTCTCGTGTGATGCTGCATCGGAAGCGTTCGGCTGGAGTATGGGCCGTGACAGGAATAGTTGTGAGGCAGCTGCCTGCTTGGCTCCAGCTATAGGAGCTGTGAAAACACTCACCTTGCAGCAGAGGACCTGGTAACATTACAGAATCTCAGCATCTTCTTGTGTCTGGATGTTTCCATAAATGTTGTTTACATGGTTGCACAAATCAACAGTACCGGTTTTGCCCCTTTATAGGAAACATGCGTTGTTTCCTGTTGGATTGGGCTCCGGTATTGAACTGGACCAACTGGTAGCAGTAATGTATTCTGTGAAGTTCATGAAGCATGAGATGGTTTGGGGTCAATCAACATTTTCTTCCTAATGTAAGCACATGCAGTTCCCATCGAAATGATGGTTACTAGTGCTGCTCAGCATACAGAAGCTTCATGTTTTCAGGTACATAATGTGTTTGCTGTCCTATTGTGCAGTTTTAAAGTATCCTTTCCTTTTGTATAGCAAAGGAGAATCCACCGTTTTCAAGGCTCATACAGCAACTGTAAGAAGTGTTCATTTCTCCAGCGATGGCCAGTCTTTAGTTACAGCTTCGGATGACAAAACAGTCAAAGTGTGGACAGTTCACAGGCAGAAGTTTCTATTCTCACTTAGTCAACACATAAACTGGGTTCGCTGTGCCAGGTAAGTACAACTTCCTGACAAATACAAATGAGGATTTATCCCTTAGAGCAGAGACTGAGTGTCTCTGTCTTTTTGTACCATGACTTCTGTTCAGGATGATTCAGGTGTGTCTGGTGACTGGAACATAGTGCTAACCTGCAGAAAGATCCCTTCGGACAAGAGTTGTGTACCCACCTTGTGTTTCTTCAGTGCTTTGTCAAGCAGAGACTTAACCGCTTACTCATTTGTTCTATGTTTTGCTTTTGCCTGGTATGGAGACTTCTGCATCTTGAAGTCGCTAACAGTATAAAATGAGAGGTTTATATTGTTATTTCAGCTTAGTTACTTCTAGACTTGTTATGTCTCTAATTAAAAATGATCACCTGTGCTCCTGCCAAAATGCTGAAAGTGCTGCCGTAATAAAAACATTATTCCCTGATAACTGTCTCAGATTTGGTTTTCAGTTGTCCACTGCAGTTTTTCTGAGAAGTTTTTATGTATAGATGTATCTAGGATAGAGCCACAGTTTCTCTGCAGGTGAAGAGTTCATTTGAACATGGTGGTGGCAGTGGCTGGTGGTACTGTAGATGCCCACAGTAAAGCAGAAAGAATATTTTTCCATATGTATGATGATGTTCTCCAGTTAGCGACTCAAGTCCTGACCCTGTCAAGTGTGTTTCTCTGAAGAGAGATACTGATCTCTGTCTTATGTGTGAAATTTTGAGATAGGAGCTTATTACATTCTTCCAAGGTACTTGCATGATGAAACTCCTGCTGCTGCAGCTGTTATCTTGGGAGTAATTCTGTTGCTCTGAACGCTTATGGCAAGGTAAGAATTGTTGCCAATCAGGGTAGAGAAATAACTTGAGATACGCTTAAATTGAAATGAGTAGGACAGGAGATCTGAAATCAGACTCGACTCCTGAGGATTATTTTATGTGCTTGTGGAATCAGGGATAGTTTGAGGACTTAGGGCTTGCGTTTTACTCTTCCCTCAGCTGTAGTCTCATGGACGGCAGTGTGAAGAGCGAGGTGTTTGCCAATATACCTTGACAGCTGGCCAAATCCAGTTGACCTGTGCGCTCCTTGTTTGCTGGCATTTCTTAACTGCTGTAACTCTTCTCTTAGATTCTCTCCTGATGGACGATTGATCGTGTCAGCCAGTGACGATAAAACCGTCAAACTGTGGGATAAAACCAGCAGGGAATGTATACACTCCTTCTGTGAGCACGGGGGGTAAGTACCTGGTGGTGCATGAGTACCAGCCTTGTGATTTGTGAAATGGGGATTCCTGATGAGTATACACCTGGTTTTGTGACTGCAGTCAAAGCTCCTTGTCCTAGCAGTCATTTCTACCTCTTAAAACAATCATTAGCACCTATTGCAAAAGCAGCCAGCAGAGGATGAGATGCAAAATGAGCTTCCAGAATTGTTTTGACATTTTTATGACTTCTCCAGATTGCAACCTCGAGGGTTATATTTCAATAACTGTCCAACATGTCAAGCCTTAGTTTCTTTATGCTTATTTATGTTTGGAGATGCTCGAATTCTTTATTTCTTCTTCTAGCTACGTTAAGCTTTTTTAAAACTTTGCTCCGAGTTGAAGTAAATTAAAAGAGCACAAGTATAGTGGCAGGTTGGTACTTCGATATTTTGGTTCGTCCTCAGATTTTTTAATAATGTTATGCCAAAAAAACACTTTGTATTCAAAAAAACATTTGTTGAATTGGCATCTTCTTCATGGAGAATATTGAGCCACAGCGAAAGTCAATTTGTTCAAAAGCACAAGGCAAGTCCTTAGAGAACAGAGACTGGAACCTTCCTAATTTCTTGCTGCATTGAATATTTAAGTACAGAGTTGTGTTCTTTCTAGGTAATATTCAATGATATTAAGACAAATTCAGATAGTATTATTTTTTCCAGTGCTTTTAAGAATATAGCTTGTCCAAACAACCTATTGAAATACCTCAGCTTCTTCAGCATTTGTTCCAAGAATACTCAAAGGAGAATTAATTTTACCCAATTTCTTGTGTCGATTGGGTGAGGAGTTACAAGATGCTCTTCACTAAAGGTTTTACTGTGCTTGTGTGTTCAAAATAAAAATTCACTGCATACAGGTCCAGAGAGGACTTTGGTCTCAGCCTTGCTGCCTTCCAAGTAGCAACATAGAATTTCAGGCACAAATTCAGTAAGCTCCATCTTAAAATTAGTTAAGTGAAGAAAAATATCTGTTAAGTCTTGTACACATCAGTCTAGAAATCGTGTTATTAAAATAGAAGACATATATTATGCAAACATTAAACGAACACTTGAAAATATTGTTGTGACAGTCGGATCCATCAGCTTTCAGGAGGCTTGTGGCTCCTACACCTATAAAGCAAAACCTTGAAGATGGGACGTTTAGGTATAATCCTGCAGTCTACTTAGGGTTATAAGCAAAGTCTTAAGAGAAATTCAGCAATACAAATTTTCAGGTTATCTCCTCCTTTCTGTAATGTTCAATACATCATGATGTAGCTTCCCTTCTTGAAATGACCTTGTTGATCTTTAGCAAAAGTGGAATGTAAACAGCTGAATTTAACTGCAATTTACAGGTTTGTGAATCATGTGGATTTTCATCCCAGTGGTACCTGCATTGCTGCGGCTGGTACAGATAACACAGTGAAGGTGTGGGACATTAGGATGAATAGACTTCTTCAACATTATCAAGGCAAGTTAAGACCTTAAAGTCAGAACTTTCCCCTTATTGATATGAATTGCTCTGAAGTCCAGGGATTGTTTCTCCATCACCTGCTGCTTTTCCAGAAAGGCACTGCCAGTGGAAGCCTTTCTTTCAGCAAACATCGTGCTTTTCTTTGTGTTGGCTCCATGACTGGTTCTCATACATTGATGAGAAATACCCCTCTTCTAATTTCTCCTTCTCTGCCCATCATCAAAAAAGTTGAAAAACCAGAACGGAAACTGTCCCGTGTTGCAGGTGTGCATGGGTGTTCGCTGTGATGCCACCTGGCTCCCGTTAACTGTTCTTGAGGAAATGTGCAGTAAAAAGGACATGGCCTTTTCCTCTGAGTGAACCTGAGGAGGACTCATTCATTCCAGCAAAGCAAAAGGCTGAGTTTGTCACGAGAAAATTAGGAAAAGTTAGCAAAAAAGGAAAAGCAAAACCAACTAATTGTAGCTCTGTACCACGATCCTTGTTTGCAGTTGCTTCTCCAGTACCTCCTTTGGTGTTCAGCTTCCAGAATTAGCTTTAACCTTGGTATGACTTGTCCAGGTTGGCTTGTCCTTGGACTAACTAGCTTTTAGGAGTCTACATGTAGTTTTTAATTTTGGGTTTTGGGGTTTTTTTTACCATTGCCTTCAAAATGGCATCTTCTCCCATTACCTGTTCTTGTCTAACTGGTTAGTACTGCCATTTGGTAGAACTGGATGGGAAAAGGGTCTTTTCCCATATCTACAACTTCTTTGAGCTTGACCATACTGTTTTGTGCATGCAAGTTGCCTGAGCCTAAATGTGGCTTTTCTTTACTATTAATGATTTTTAGGGCTGTCACAGTATTTTGTAAGTTCATATGTTCTCAAGCACCATTTTCAGTACAGATAGCTTATTAAATGTAATTTTATTAGCTTTTCATGAAGATGACTTCTGGTGTGCTAGTAAAGCAGATCACAGATACAGGGCTGGAGCTCGGTGTAGTGTTCTTCCTGCCATCCACATCAGCTACTGTCAGCTTCTGCTGCAGCAGCCTCACAGCTGACTGCCAGGCAGCAAAGGCTGAGTAGTAAAATAGCTTGCATTCGATTCCTGCTAGCTTTGCAAGTTAAGACACAAAAATTGAGTTCCAATTTGAAACTGAAATTGAGCTGTTGGTCCTCCTGGCTTTGTGTTTTATAATTGTTTTCTGAAGTGCTTTTGACTGTGTATCCCTTTACTCACAAGGCAAGGAAGGAGTTTGCAGGCTCTCAGTACAGGTTCTCTAGTTTCCCTTGATAGAGAGAGGCTGAAAAAGCGTAGTGATGTTTAAGGAGCAGAGTTTGTCTTCCTTCACAGCAACCTGTGAAACACTACACCTCTGCTGGTAGGGAAGAGCAATGGGAGTTACTCATCTCAAAGCAAATGCAAAGAAGCTCTTAAGATTGAATGTCCTTTGGGTTCTGTAAAGAAGTAAATAAAATCTCCCCAGAAAGAGGTTGTTGTGGAGTAGAAACATCTGCAAACCTTAGAATGCTTTATAATTCTGCTGTGTATAGAGGGCTGCTCTTTTGCCCTTTGCATACAGATGGAAACACCGTGATGGTCATCTGGTCTGACTGTTAAGCACTGATGGTGACACCACTATCACTGGAACAGGTTTTTTTCTTAGGTAGAAAAAACCACTGCATTTCTCATTTTTTAGCATCAGCTTCCTGCTCCTGAATTGTTTTATTCCTGGCTTCTAAACGTGGAGCAGTCTCACTGTGTAGTCAACTTGAGCACTCTTTGAACTCTTCAACTGTAAACCTGCTTGAGCTCCTTGAACTCGTATAATGTGATTTTTGTTTTAATATATTCATTTCTTCAGTTACACTTACGGACTCAATCACTTCCAGTTCTCTGACAGTTAACAAAATCTAGTGGAAGTGGTACCTTTTGAGGAATGTTGTTCCAATTCATTGATACTGAATTGGTGCAATTAAAATGATGACTACTGAAGTGTGATTCTTTATTTAATAAGAATTGTTAACTTGTGACCTGTATCAAAACTTGGAAACACCTTTCTGAAGTCTAAAATAGGTCGTGTGTTTAAATACTCAACGGTCCTTTAACCTTCTTTATCAGCTTTTCAACAGCGGCAGGATCTGCAGTGCATGTGTCCAGCCACAGTACGACTTGGCTCAAAAATCGTCTCTTCCTGCTTTGCACTTACTGCTATTGAATTGTTCAAATCTAACGCTGCTTAGGTTGGCAGCCAGGTTTATTTTTTGTGTCTTGGAGTTATGTTTTTCTCCTCTATCCCAGGATATATATCCCAGGTTATTTATCTCCTATTTCATTCTAGTCTGACACCCTTACTGTTGAAGTGATCTTTTCCTGTTATGAGTGTTATTTTTAACAGCTACTGTTACTTTATTCTTTATTTATTATATTTATTTAATTTTTATTTATTATTCATTGTGTATTAAACTTTGAACTAGAAATTGTCATAAAAGCCAAAGAATCCTAAAATTGCGCTGGTAGCTGCATGCAGTCACTTCATGCACCTGTGGCTGCAAACTGATGCATTTGTAACATCATCTGGAGGTGTCTGTAAGTCCTGATCTTCCTAGGCTTTATGTGCATGCCTGTTGGCTAAGTCGGATTTGTTTTGTGGCTCTGCCTTGTGAAGCTCCCATCTCAGTCCCACTAGAGGGCATCTCCTCCCTCAGTACCTGCTTGCGCTGCCTGGATTGCAAGGGAATCCATTTTAAAGATGGAGTTGCACTGAGGAGTTAATAGATAAGTCACTCTGCCACGGATTTTTGCAGTGCTGCTTTTGTTTACAGGATTTGTTCCAGTTGTGGCACTTACCAGTGAAAGTTAAAAGTAGAGAGCAAACTGCAAAACCTTTTACGTTTTGGTTTGTTTTTTTTTTTAGCTAAGTTTGCTCTCGTCACTTTTACTGTACAGGAGAGCAGACAGATGCTGTATCCACTCCTCTGCTTGGTGCTAACTCTTTCTGTACAACAGATCAACCCCCTACAGAAATGACCAGTGTATATTGCCTGCCTTTGACTTCCTATGCCAAGTTGCATGGGGGGCACCTCTATTGCAGGTATGTGGGAACAGCTCCAGCATTTGGTACTCTTATACAGTTCAGATAGGTCTGAATGGTGGTTTTCTGTTCATTGGGGACTGTGGCTGTGTCAAGTCCATCCTAATTTATCTTCTGAGTGCTGGTTACTAAGATGTTGCCTTCACTGAGTACGTAAAGGTAGCACTGCCAGACCTGGGACAGTTCTATTCGGTTACTCTGTAGCCTGGTGTGACTCAGTTTTAGTAGTTAACCCCCCAGTATTAGTCCCGTAACTGGCCATTATTTGTCAGGGCTTGGCTGGTGGAAAAGTAGAATCACAGAATCACCTGGATGGGGAAGGACCTTTAAGAATGAGTCTGACCAGTAGGGCTTGTAGCAGCAGGTCACTGGGAGATGCTGCCTTGTGCTGCACCAGTTTTATTGTCCACTACATGAAATAAAGTGAGGCTGCAGGATATGGTGGCAACTTTTTGGACAAGCGTTGTGAATGGTCTTGTGGGAGGTATGAGCTGCTTTGGCAGTAGAGTGATGGAGTTTTCTTTGAGCTTCTAACAGCCAAGAACTGCTTGGGCACAAAGCTGTGATGTCTTTCCATTATGAAAAGGGTTTTTTGGTGGAACTGGAAATGCTGTATTCACTATCTTGAAACTTGGAGGATGTATCATCACCTTTGTCTATTTGTGGTGTGATTCTTTCAGAACTTGCCTTAGTTGACTAAATATATTTGCTTTTATTTGAATATAGATGCTAATGGGGTGAGACTGAGGGCGATGAGAGCTGCATGATAGAAGCAGCATTCACCAACAGGAATAACTGTTTGGCAGTTTCCAGTGTTGAGTTTATGATTTCTTCTGTGTTTTTAATAGTCTGGGTCAAGAGGAGTTGTATTCTCAGCTTAAGCTGAAGTATCTGGTGTTCCTGAGAGTTTAAATAGTAGATGCATTGTTTTACAACTGAACAAGGTTATTTTCAATTCCTGCTTCAAATCCACATCTGAAAAAAACAACAAACAAAAACCCAACCTTGGTTGTATAGTGTCTTCAAAATTGTATTTTGAAGTTGTTGGTTTTTTTTTTAACATGTAGTTTGGATTTTAAATGCACAGTGGACTCTCAAGGAAAGATAAACTTAGTCGAGGGGAGGATGTGTATATTAGTAGCAGTAGATTCGAGATACAAGAACATTTGGAGGGCACATAGCATAATGAGGAATAACTGGATAGCTAAAACCCACTTTGAGCGTAGTCTTAATATCCTGTCAGGTCGCAGCAGCTCAGCAAGCTGTGCATATGTAAAGTACTGCATGTTCTCATGAATACATACGTTCAATGGTCTGTTTTGCAGAAGTTTGGGGAATGGAAAAAAGCCCTACATTGGGTAGATGTTCAGTGTTACAGTGAACTCACGTGGAGTTTGACTTTTTTTGTAGAGCATTTTCTTTAGCTCTTTTTAAAATAATTCATCTTTGTGCAGGAAGGATTTACACTCTTGGTAGTTTGTCTGTTCATACTTGTTTTACGTTTTTGGTGAGACAGATTTGATGTCTGAGGAAATAATGCTTATGCTGCACCGTTTCCAAGTTGCTGGTTCTTCTTTCCTGGTTCCTTTTAAACCCAGTCTTGGTCAGAGTGATGGCAAACCAGAAGAACCTGTGCAATGCCAACTCTGAGCTTCTTTCTCCTCGTAATTTCAGTCTTCTCCTGTGCTAGTACATAGATTTTAGTCTAGAACGACCTGAGAGTGAGAGCAGTAGCTCCGTGGTAGTAAAATATGCCAATGTCCAGCTCTCTCACAGAATCATAGATCTCACTTGTGCGTATAGTTGCATTTTGAGGCTGTGCTGGAAGCTTTTATAGCCTTAAACTCCCAGAATAATTGGCAAAGCTTCCTTTTTCCTTTCAGTAAAGTAGTGCCTGTTTTTACAAGAATTGAATGCTGCCCTTGTTCTCCAATGCTTAGAAGAGCTTTTGTGGAACGTTTCCCCCATGATAACTTTTCCTGTTCAACTTCATAACAGAAAATGGGAATGTGCTTGTATTTTATTCTTTTGCCTTGGGTTTAAGTAAACTGGTCTTGGTGATTATTATGTACGTTTTTTCCATCCTTAGTGCACAGTGCTGTGGTAAACAGTCTTTCCTTTCACCCTTCTGGAAATTATCTGGTTACTGCTTCCAACGATTCAACTCTTAAAATTCTGGACTTGCTAGAAGGAAGACTTCTGTATACTCTTCATGGTCACCAGGTGAGACAAAGCCTTTTTTGCTGTAACATACAATCCCATAGAATTTGGCCAAATCGGTGCTTGAGCCTTTCATTCTTCATGGCCAACAATCTTTTGAAAACTTCCTTGCATGAAACTACCTAAGGGGCATGGTCTGGGCTGTGCCCCGGGCTGTAATCCTGGGTCTGTGGTGCACTCTCTGCCCCGCAGTTTTCCCTGTCTCCCTCTCTAGAGTGGTGCAAATAACACTTGCTGTCCTGACACAGGTGGTGTGAAGATAAATGCTATTCACCTCTCGGGAGACTTAAGGACAGTAATGGTGAATTGCAGGAAATACATTTTGGGACGTGGTTTGAGAACACGTTTCCATTTTGTTAAAGGACTGAATTAAATAATTGAAGGTGATAAATGCTGCTGGCTGCTTAAGTTTAACTGATTGGCCTATTAGTATTATGCTGCTGGATGTGTTGCTTGTAAGGTTAATTATTTGAATGCTTGGAGCTCTCTTTTTAAATGTTAAATGAAAATAGATAGACTAATTTCATTTTCCATGCTGAGTGGGGCTCAAGGGCATGAAAAAGCAGACCTGCGTTAAAGGTTCCCTTTCCAAAGGGAAAAAGAGAACAGAAATTCTTAACCCATTTGTGCCTCTGTTAAACTGGGGACTGAGTCTTACAGTATCAAAACTGGCTGGGGCACAACAGAGCCAGCAGCTGCTGAAGGTGTTGAGGTTTGTTCTGGGCAATAATGGCAGCTGCCTAAGCTGCAAAACTGGCAATGCTGGCTTCTTGTGAGTTTGTTTAGTGACTGCCCGAAAAGGTCGGACTTGTTCCATTACTTCTCTTATGCTGTGTGTTAATAACCTTTTCTCCTTTTTTGTAATATTGATGAAAAAATGGGACAACCTTATACTTAAAACTCTACTTCATGAGAAGATCTGTTGAAAACTGACCAAAGTGATCCAAGTGCTGAAAAGAATGAGGGAAAGATAATAAAAACTGGCTATCTTAATGTGTAAACCTCAACTGCATAAAACCTCCTTACTTTCAAAACTGGACTAAATGGATACCCCTGCCAGACAGGGGCTGCAAAGCTTCTAACTGTTGTCCTAATCTCGTTTTCATATTTGTCTTTTGTGTTAATTGGCCAAGCGAGTTCTCAGGAAATAGCTTCCTGGAGAAGACTCAGTGTGGAGGGCCAGTGGATCTTTGCACCTCTAATCCTTTCCTCAGAAGGGAATGTGCCTGGTGGTTGTTGAGCAGGTGGCTGAACCTGCTTTCCATTTTCCTCCCCTCTGAGCTCTGGGCTGCTCCTCGCTGACTGCAGTGGCACAAGAAAAAGAATTTAGCTTTGAATGAGTCTGAAATTTGTTATGGTGCTGGAAGTCTTCAGAATTAAACAACAGAAAGTCCCTGTAGGCTGGTGCTGTACTTAGGGCATCTATAAAACAGTTGGTTTGTGAAGCATCTGTTCAGAAGTAAACATACAGCTATATATTTTTACTCCCCCCTTCCCCACTGTTTCAGATCAGTAAGACAATGTCTGGCACTCTCTCCTAGGCATCACGAATGTTTTGACACTGGCACAGCTGAAGAGTAGTTGCCACGGTGGGATTGTACCTCCTTAGTTTGGGAACAAGTAGAAGTACAAAAGTGTCTGGTAATTCTTTCTTTAAGGGCACTGCAGAGAGGTGGCTGTGGATAGCCCTGGGCTGGCATTCCCTCTGCTCACGTGTGCTGTGTTGTTGTGGGCTGGTTCTTTTCATGTCTGATTTAACAGATACCTGCTTTTCAACTAAAAGTGTGTGACAGTCTGTACCTTCACTCACAGTAAGCAAGGCAGTGACAGCAGGCACTGCTCTTATCAGAAGCTGCTGGGGTGAGCGGCTGAGGGAGCTGGGGCTCTTTAGCTTGGAGCAGAGGACACTGAGGGGTACCCTCATTCATGGTTATAAATTTGTAAAGGGCGAGTGTCAGGAGGAAGGAGCCAGGCTCTGCTCTGTGATGTCCAATGACAGGATCAGGGGCAATGGTCCCAAGCTGGAGCACAGGAGGTTCAACCTGAACATGAGGAAAAGCTTTTTTACTGTGAGGGTGCCAGAGCATGGCCCAGGCTGCCCAGAGAGGTTGTGGAGTCTCCTTCTCTGCAGACATTCAAAACCCGCCTGGCCGTGTTCCTGTGTGCCCTGGTCTGGTGATCCTGCTCTGGCAGGGGTTGGACTGGATGAGCTTTCGAGGTCCCTTCCAACTCCTGAGATTCTGTGATTCTGGGTGGATTCCTGCACTGGTAACTTCTCTGGCCTTCTCTGCTCACAGATAAACCCAGGCTACTTAGTACTGGAGGCTTATTTCCCCCCCCACCCCACTCTTCTGACTGATTTCTGCCAGTATCTCCAAGTGGCTGAAAATGAAGTGGGTCTGAATTTTTGGTCATTAAGTAGATTTGCCTTTTTAAGTGAGGGCTATGGTTTATTCACCAAATGAACAGCCTGTTCTGAAGACATTCTTGAGTTGTGACTTTGTGTGGGTGAATACGCTGCTTGAGCCTGACTCTGTGCTCTGACAGCTGACTGCTGTGACGTTGTTCTGGGAAGGCTGCGTGCGAGTGGACATTTGAATGAAAAACAAAAGACTTAAGGTCCTGTAGGCATACTTTGATGCAACTGCTGGAGTGCCAGGAATTTGTTAGCAGCTGATTAGCTGTAGTTTACATAGGGAGGATTGCCAAGTTTACATTGCTGTCTTTAATTGTAATGTAGCTGGCCCCCTTGTAGCCGAAGGATCATTTGAGACAGGAGTTTGCAGCTTGGAGGTGACATCTTGCAGCTGCAAGATATCATTTTGTCTTGTACTGCATATTTTAGTTCTGGAGTACTTAAAGCCGTGAAGTGCTCTTGCCTAACTCCATACAGATGAGACACTGGGTTGGCATGTAGGCCCACCTCTGGTACTGAATCATCGATGAGGAACAGCATGTTTTGAGACCCCTAAGTCACCTCCAGAAAGTTGCTAGAGGACAGCAGATATGTATACAGTGCCTGTCTGCCCTTTGGAGTGGTTTTGTTAGGGTATTTCTAGCAGACTTCCTTAGTGGAACGGAAGTTCTCAGTAAATGTTTAGTAAACATCTGTATGGTTATGTTTATAAATAGGAAGACAGAAAATGCGAAGTTACGATTCTCCAAGCAACCTTGACTTGAACCATGAAGTAGCTGCATTCTACCTACCTGGGTAGTGTAAGTGCTCTCTGCTTTGCTGGCTGGCTAAGGAGCAAGGTCCTCTAAGCAGGTGCACAGGAAACAAGTTGCTGTCTGCTGCCAGCTCTACCTAGGGGGCATTAAACATCTGTGCAGGCCTCGTCCTCTGAGGGCTGTGAGGACATCTCAGGGCTGCGCACAACTGGACCAACAAATGGAGAGAAGAGTGTGTTGCAAACAACAAAGTCAAAGCAGTTGACTTTAGATTAGCATTTCTAAGTATTAAAAGGCAATAGAAGTGCTCTATTCTTCCCTTGTATTTTAACTGAAGCTTTCGGGAGTTAAAAAGCTACTGAAGATTCAATTACAAAGTGTCAGTGTAAGTCTTCCCTGTGTTAGCTGTAGCCATTAGTCCCTGGCGAAGCAAGATGAGGGAATGACAGTCTTGCTCTGTGTAGTAATATAGGAGTTTTTCAAAGCTCCGCAGACTGAGAATCTCTGTGACTTGTCAGAGGTATTGTGCATGAAAACATCCCTTGTTGTCGTTACCATCACTTTCCCCTGTGCTCCTCCTTGGTTCCCTTTCTCTCCCTTTCTGTCCTTTGTGTTATCACCCTCATTGCGCAGTTTCTAGGAATCTGCCCATTAAATCTAAAAATTTTTCTTGTCCTTACTGTTGGAGATAAGGATTCTTTCCACAGTCCCTGTTGCTTTCCACTCTGTCCCCACTTGAGGAAAATACTCAGCTCTGCCCTGCACCTCTGATTTGCCAGTGTGCAGTGGCTGCGCTGACATCTTTTCCCCTCTCCACGTAGTCTTTAAGGGTATGTGCTGTTTGTAAAAGAACAGCAAACATCCATGGCTTTCATAGCTTTTTTTTTTTCCTAGGTCTTATCTCTTTTGAAGATTGGGACTTTTCCCATCTGCTCCTTCTGCAGGATTCATGCTGCGTCCTGTCCCGGATTGTGAAACAAGTGCACATTAACTTTGTCACCTGCCTTGCCCCTTGTATTACTTCCTGCTTCTGTCATCTCTGAATTCCGTCCTGCTGAGTATCCTGCTATTGTCTTTCACCTTTTCTGATGAGACTGAACAGATCTTCAGAGCTGTGGGTTTCCTTGCTGCATGTTCATCATTGATCCTGAGATACAAGCTCAGTGTTCCTGTCTTACCAAAAGGTCTGTTAATTTGAATTGGTCTTCACTGGCCTCTCTTCACTGCTTTCTCTGCTGCTGAAACCAAGTCCTGTGTCTCTCCTCTATCACATCAGCATCTTGTCTCAGGTCCTCTGTGTTCTTTGGGAATCAGATGCATGTATCAAGTTTCTTACCTGCTCTTGCTGTTTTCCTGATTGCTTTGGTTGCTTATTCTTTACATCTTCTGCCCTCTGTCATTTCAGTGTTCATCTGTTCAAGTGTGACTTGCCCTTTTCCGCTGTGCCACCAAGCGGTTGAAAGCTCTGTGAACAGTGGCAGTGACTGCTCTGTTTGTTATTATTTCCCATGCCTGGGATCCCAGTGTGCTTGTTGCTGCCGGGTTTACTTCTCAGACCTCATCACCGTTTGTGTCTCCTTTTTGTCTTTGCACTCGTTAATCTGCTCTAGGAAAGTTTTGATTGAATGTACTGGCTTGTATCTTATCACTTCTACATCTCCTTTCGTGGCAGTGGAAGAGGAAGCTCTCCTTGTGCTAAACTATCCACATCTTCCAGCTCTTGGTGCCTCCCTTATAAGAGAAAGGCTCTTCTCTGGTATGCATTAGTTCCTCCCAGGATTTAGGAAAAAGAAAAATATCTGGCGTCCTTGACCCCACTTGCCTGTCCAGCT